GAGATGTTAATGCACACATAGAAGATATAGATGGGTATACCGACCCGACAGGCAAAATGATCATAGATATGTGTGAAAGGCATGATTTGATCATTTGCTACAGCACCAAGAAGTGTGAAGGGCAAATAACAAGCGAGGTGGGAAGGCTGCAGTCGACGGTAGATTACGCACTCATGTCACATAGGATGTATGATAAGCTCAGGAGAATGCACATAGATGAAGGTGGCTCCAGAAGTCTGGGTAGTGATCACAAACATATCAAGCTAAGTTTTGGAAGAGCAGTGAAAGTGCAAAGGAGACAAGATGAGCAACTACAGGAAAATTTTCATTCAGAAAGGCAAATAGAAATTGCTACTAAACAAATTGAGAAAGTAATCACTGAGGATAATAAAACTGTGTGGACATACACAAATCTAATTAGACTGTTTGGGCTAGAGCTTGCTAAGGCACGTGACAAGTCACCCCAGAAAAGAAGACACAAGCCCAAGAGTTGGTAGGATGAGGAAGTTAAGAGAGCCATAGCAAAACGTCAGGAAGCCTCTAGGGAACACAGACATGCTAAGCAGCGGGGTGAACTAACAGACGATGTTGAAAGAAAATGGGACATCTTTCTAAGCTGCAGAAGGGAAGCATCCCTTCTGAACAATAAAAAGATTTGAAGAAAGGGGGCTCAGTGGCTGGCAGAAGTACATAAAAAGGACAGAAAGGCAGCTGCGAAATTTTGGAACCATCTAAACTCCCTAAGAAATGAAACAAGCCTAGAGCCGAGGTTTATAACTACAGGTCAAGGTGCTAGGCTAGAAGGGGACAAAGCTATTGAATATATAAGAAAAAGGGTGACAGAAAAATTTTAACAAAGAAGTACGTTATGCACCACAATAGACAAGGATGGATCAAGTGTCGCAATGGCTCCATTTTCACAACGAGAGCGGGAAAGAACAGAGAAGAGGATTCCAAGTAGTACATCAACAGGCCCAGATGGCATTCCAATTATGCTGCTGAAGACATTAGGTCCGAAGTCTAAGTAGGCTTTGAGAGAGGCAGTGAGCAAAATGATAATCGATGGTGAAGTCCTCGATGGATGGAAACTTAGCAGGATGAGCATGATCTATAATGGAAAGGGGGACAAAGCTGACATAAACAACTACCGTCCTATAACAATGACATCAGTGGTCTACAGGCTGGAGATGCAGATTATAAAGGAAAGACTGCAGGCATGGATAAAGGATAAGGGGGTGCTGGGGTAAATGCAGAATGGGTTTCGAAAACACAGGAGGTTGGAAGACAATCTGTTCTCACTGACGCAGTGCATCGAAATAGCAGAAAAAGAACACAAGCCCCTGTGGCTAGCATTTTAGGAAATCAAGGGAGCGCACGATAGCGTGGTTCAAAAGGACTTGTGGGGAATACTGGACACACTAGGTGTGGAACATGGAGTCACTAATCTTTTAAAGGGTATCTATAAAGGTACCAAGGTAGTTATAAAGTGGGAAAAACAAGTATCCAAACCCACAGAGGCAAAACGGGGGCTTAGGCAGGGGTATCCTATGTCACCTTTGTTATTCATGATGTACCTGCAAGGATTAGAGGCTAAATTAGAGAGAAGTGGACTTGGCTTCGATCTCTCCTTCGTCAAACAAGAAAAACTCATTGAACAGGCACTACCAGCATTGATGTACGCAGATGATATAGTGGTAATGGCCGACAACAAGAAAGATTTGCAAATATTGATGGACATATGCGGTAATGAGGGAGATAGGTTAGGTTTCAGATTAAGTAAAGAAAAATCGGCAGTCATAATTTTCAATGATAATGCGGTAGTGAGCTTAGAATACAGGAGGTCACGCTAGAGATAACAGATAAAGACAAATATCTGGGCATACGGAGAAGCAATGGGACCGAGTACCTAAGGGAACACAAAATATATGTGACGACTAAAGGTAACAGGAATGCAGAAGTGATAAAAAATAGGGCACTGTGAAATTACAATAGGTATTATGTTGTGAGAGGAATATGGAGAGGGGTCATGGTTCCTGGTCTGACGTTCAGCAATGCGGTCTTGTGCATGAGATCAGAAGATTAAGCAAGATTAGAAATTAAGCAACGTGGAATAGATAGGCTTGCCTTAGGAGCTGATGGGAATACACCAAATCTGGGAGTACAAGGTGATATGGGATGGACATCATTTGAGGGCAGGGAAGCTAGCAGTAAGATAAAATTTGAGAAGCAAGTGAGAGAAATGGGGGAGGAGCGTTGCGCTGGGAAGGTTTCAAGCTACTTGTACATGAAGAATGTCGATACAAAATAGAGGAAGCGAACCAGAAAATTGATGGTAAATACTTGAAAAACAGCAGGGGCCAAACCAAAAAGAACTATCGGTTAAGAAGGTGAAGGAAATGGAGACTAAAATGTGGAGAATTGGCATGATTAAGAAGTCTGCACTAGAGATATATTGAACTTTTAAGCAGGAAATTGCCAAGTAAAGGATCTATGATAATACTCGGGGTAGTTCTCTACTCTTTAATGCGAGGACGGGATTTTCGCCAACCAAGACATATCGGGCGAAATACGAAGGGGTAGACACGGTATGCAGTGTGTGTGGAGAGGAAGAGAAAACTGCCGAACACTTGATAATGTTCTGTAAAGGGCTTCACCCTATAGTTCAGGATGATGGCACAGAGTTTTTCGAAGCACTGGGGTTTAGGGATAGGAAGGGCGAAATAGACCTTAAGCGGGTAGAATTAACTAGAAGGAGGTTATCTCATTCCTGGCTAAAGTGAAGGCACGAGTGAAAATTAAACCCTTCACTGCAAAGTACGAGTCCTCAACTTCACTGTTGAAAGGAAAAAAATAAAAATCTAGTTTTTGGTTCACTAAGTATTACGGCTTGGTGGCATTAGCCGATCTAAAAGGTACAACCATATCCATCCATCCATCGTGAGCTTTCTCCGCAGTGATTGCCGCGTCAAAGCGCCGGGCGTCTGTTACACGCCCGACATTTCGGCAGATGCTAGCCAACGTTGCGGTAGTATGAACAAGATTTATCATTGCGTCGATCCAACACTATACTGTAGCGACTTACTGCACATTTAAGACGTCTGGATGCTCTGAAGCGGGGATCTTGAATATTTTCTTTCAGCTGTTTTGTTTCTTTCAGCACTTTCGCATGAACGCGTTGCGAGTGAAGGTACTTAATTTAGTTTTATGTGGAATATCGAACATATATGTGCTGTAGAAGAAAATAAGCTGGAAATCACCAAGATAACACCCTGAAAGCATTTTAGGCAGTACGATGTGGGCGTGGTAGCCGTCCGGCTTGTTCTGACTCTGTTCCAATTTGTCTCGCCTGCGCATTTGATACTCAGAAGCGAAAATAAGCCAACAGTATTGCGGTTCTATGGTCATTCTTACTTTTTCTTTAGTTTCTCTAATGTCTTACCAATGTGTTCTGTTCATAACAAAGCACTAGTAGAGGATAACAAATAATTGAGTAAAGCAGAGTGCACGTGGCTTGAAAACCGCTGGTAATCATGAGCACTAGTGTTCGTATACAGTGGTGAGCAAGCAGTCGCCGCCTGTAAGCATTGCAGCTGACTGCGCGTGTAAATACATTTTTTATTACTCTTTATTCTTGCATGCTCAATTAGCCGTGCGAATGGCTTCTTTTAGTTTCTTCTTTATACTATCTTCATTCTTCATTTTTAGCCCATGTTTACTCACACACACACATGCACGCACACACACACACACGCACTCTCTCGAACTCCAACAGCTACCCCATGCTGATGTCGCTGGACACACGAGTTTTTGCATTCTATTGTTGCCCCAGGCACTACCACAGTGCTTTAACGTGGATAAGCTTTTTCCAACATCGAATTATTAAAGCTGAGCAGACTTCAGGTGCCTTGTGAGGAAACACAGCGTGAAAACTGCAGCGCATAGCAGACTCCTCTCGCTTTTTGCGTGCTGCTAAGCGTGGAAAGCCGACTGGTCCGGTGCAGCAGCGGGGCGGCAGTTCACCGCAAAAGCCCCACATGGGAGCCAGCACTTTGGACACTCCAAAAAAAGTTATACTAAATATAACCTACTTGGGAAGTGCAACGTGTAACCTCTTTGGTCTCTCCTCAAGCTTTCCAGAGCTTGCTGCCAAGGCCAGGCACGGCATTGTTGTAGCTCCGCAAACTTGAGCTTTGGTTCCCTAGGCTAGACTGAATTGACGATTCCAAATTATAGTGATACAAGGCAAGTGACGCTATATACAACCTAACTTCTAGCCGATTTCTTCATTGCAGTGTAAGTGTGAGGTTATATATATTGAACTCTTTTGGCAGGAGGCCATCTGATCGGCGGCAACGCATATCCGTTGATGCCTTGACTGCTTTCTCCTTACCGTGAATGCGGAGGCGGCTGGCAGCCATGGATGGAGATGTTCAATGCTGTCCACTGCTGGAAACGGGTCTTCATAAAAGGTGCTTCCGTTCTGCTGAAGATCCGCTTTCAAAGGCTGATATTCATAGATGCCGCTACCATTCTACAAACTTAGTGATCATGGCCTGCGTTCTGCACAACATCGCAAGCAGAAGCCACTAGTACTAGCTATGCAGATGAAACGCTTGTATCACAAGCATGATCTGAACTAAATGTACTCATGCCACACCTCTTGTCAAACTGACATTTTTTTTTTATTTGTACCTTTGGTTTTATTTTTCTACACTTACACTGATGTGATTGTAGACGTTTTATCGAATGTGTTTTATTTTACTACATATTCTGTTCACTTGCTGTGTTAGCTATTACCCTCCATATTTATATAAATAAGGTCCCCCTACGTTTTTTTTTTTTTTTTTTCCTTTGGGACCCTCACCTGCATATTTCTTGATCTTGTGTATTTTTTTTTGAAAGCAATAAGCTGAGACCGAAAAAACCGCAAAGTGGCATCGGCCCTTGCAACAACTGTGTGGGACACTGTTGTGCAGGCTTTGTAGTTTTGCATCATAAGTATGATGAGAACACTTCTCTTTATTGGTGCTAAGAATTGTGCAGTATTTGTCGAACTTATTTAAAACTACTGCTGAACTAGCTTTCAATTAACTGAATATATATATACATATATATATATACACTATCAATTTCGAGTGTGAACTAAACAGCTGAAATGGTTGTTAAGTGTAGAGTTGTCAGAATACAATCATACCCATACATTTAACATGCAAGATTTGCTCATGAAAGCTTTCACATGAGCACTGCACGTACATTGTGCATTTCATAATTCACACTCCCGATCATCATCTTTAAACGACAACTTTTCAATGGGGATCAATACTGTATATACAGAACTATATACAGGGTTTAAAAGTTCAAGTTACGTCTGTGAAATTACAATGTCTAAAAATGAACACGCACTGTTTTCAACAAGTAAAAGGAGGATGTCAAAGCAATTCTGCATGCAGAAAAGAAAACAATGCTGCATTGCATAAAAAAGGAAAGATGCATTGAGATACAACTCGATAATAAGTTCTTTGCAAGTGTCCCTCTTTACACTTCAGTAGCACGTTGCAAGTGCCAACTGCTTGTCGTTCTTTGCGTGACATCACTAACACATTTATTGCTTTGCCCTTGCGGCAGAACTGCAACATGCGGTAAAACATTTTATTTCACGACTCTCATATTGACCTATTAACATGATGCATATGGTCTGAAAGATGGCCAAACTGATTAGGTCGTTTCACTCAGTCCACCGGTGGGTGCAGTTTGTGTTGGTGCACACATAGTACAGCCGCATTTCGTCCTGCAAAGAGTGCAACAATGTAGTATAAAAGGTTGCCCCTAGTTTACTCATACCCAGAAGTTCCCACAGAAACTCATTGTACAAGTACAAACACCATAACGTGAAGTGGCAATCATTCATGGTTTATTATAAAGGTGCTAATCATGACTTCTCTTTTATATTAAACATGGACACCTACTGGCACATTTGCAATTAACAGTCTGGTATGAGATTGTAGATGCAGTCACTGACCAAGTGAAGGTGAAAAAAAAAATGTGAACAGGGTCTTGAAACATCTGTTTTATTTTTTTACCCTGACTTGGTCAGTGACAGCATCTACATACTCATGATACCTCACCAGAAGAGCTTCGGTTAAACTGTTGGCTAAACAGTCTGGTATGTTCCCAGTAAATTGCTGACACTAAGCTTCAGATTCAAAAACATACACTTTTAATGCCTTCTCTTCTAAGCACCATCCAAGTGGTTAAATGAATGCTTGCAATACAGTTCGGGACTTCAGGCCACATTTTCACTGCCAATTAATGCACTTTAAGTGGAACAAAGAGTTATTGTTCACAAACAAGTTATAATTTGCATAAACTGTTAATGTGATGAAAAAGAGTTAAAGCAGGACGTAAGGTAAGAAGCAGACAAGACAAGTCTTCCGTCCCAGTTTCGCACTCATTTTCATGGCACAAATGCCAACTAGCTCTTCAAAATACCCTTCTACATACACTCATTTCACTGGATTGTAAGATTGCCTTTCTAATGGGTTGGAGCATTGGATAAACTAGTCGTTATGCCATTCGCATTGTGTGACACCTGGCTGTTCCTTTGATGTTCTAAAATGCTTCATTATTCATATTAATGTGATTCTTTTCCTGACGTCAAGCCTGCCTAAAGCCACTTTAGAAATGAGTTCCAAGCACTGGCGTGGTTCAGTGGTAGAATATTGGGCAGGCCCGCAGCGGACCTGTGTATCATTGGTGTTTTTTATTTACAGAGTTTTTTTTTTTTTTGTTGGATACTGGTTACGGACACGGACGGTGGCGGCTGCAGTCGCCGCATGTGACCTGTGTTCTGATCTCATAACAGCTTTCGCTGTAAAACTAGTACAGTATGCTTTAAAAACCTGGTTTCGGTTCTTACTGTACCCTGATGTCACAACATAGTGTGAGCTTTTCGTCACGTGCTCGCACAAGCGGCCATTTTGAAAGTTTTGGTACATCACAACCACGCAATAATGCTGATTGCTGCATGAGGTGACCAGATTTTGTACGTAGCCTGACATAAAGCTAGTGCCGATGTCGGTAGGTGTGCGTGCCATAGAAAAATTTACTCTAATACCAAAATAAGATATCTCATCAGCATTTCCTGAGCTTCATATGTGCTCAGAGCCATCACTCTATACAGAAAATCAGCATGGAAGAATAAACTCAACTCCATAAATTGTGTCAGTACCCCTTTAACAGTGACTCAATATCGTATGTCCCGGCCAGGTAGTCAACAATGGTTACCTGGTGTGCCTGGCAGGGTTACAAGCTTTTTCTAGCATGTCACTTTTTACAAAGCATTGCATTCTTTTATGTACAGTGCTCAGTAAATTAAATTCCATTATGTGGCCACCAGCGGTTCTGTCACCACCAATGAACATTTGTGAGAACAAGCTGGTGCATGATTGTGATACCATACGGTCTTACGAAGAGGGCAAGGATGTTGATGCATAGAGGCTGCATTTGACCGCAGGTCTCTAAGAATCACAGTTGCACCACCAGAACACTGTATGCCATGGTTATTACACCCGGTTTGTCTCTTGTGCAGCACTATATTATAGAGCACATGTTGTGGTTGTAATTTGTGGGGACATTTTGTGCACATATAACAATAAATTCAATTACACTTTTGCTAAAGAAGATTATGCCACACATCCAGCAAATATGACAGCAGCATGTGTGCTTTAATTAAGTAATGCAGCAGGTAAGCACAGTGTAAAAGCCAGGCATGAGTGAATAGTGAATTTTTAGGTTCCAAGAGAAACAAATAGTGATTTAGTCTGAATAAATTCAAATCGAATTCAAATGTTGTATATTACATACTATACAGGAAACTCAACATATTTTTCGTGACCCAACTAACTTGCACACTATTCTTCAAAATTAAAAAGAAGGCCTGTGCAAATGTCACACAGGGGCACGATGCCACACGGGTGCACTAAGAAGCGACATCCCGCCACAGCATGCTTTCCACGATAGTTGCTGCTATACTCAGAAATCTTGGTTTAGCCGCATCCAACTATGGCATTTTTTTTGTGCACTTTTGCAATAGAGTGAACACCTTGCGGTAGGGAGGTTTGATGACGCATTTCTTTGTTGGCAGCAGTGGCATACACCAGATGATAAAATTTGTACTCAGTGCTTACCACATACATACAGTAAACTCTCAGTAAATGGAAATCTGTTAAATAGAACAACTTACTCTGATATTATTGGTTTCATACTTGAATAAAGCAACCCACTTCACCTCTCAGTGAACGGAACTCCTGATAAATGGAACACATTTTCCCGATCGCTTCAGGTTACGTTTAATGAGTCTACAGTACTACGTTTTGTGTATAGTTATACTGCATCAGGTACATATCAATGACATTTTACCTTATGAGTGTTTAATTGAAGAAATCGAAGTGCTGCACACAGTAGGCATCAAGTTAAAATACAAACTACAAAAAAAAGCTGGGCTGCAAAAGCTATAACAATCAAAGTGCTGACATTCTGGAACATTGTCATTGTTGTCATAACACTTGAATGAAGCACTAAATATAGCATTTAAAACACTTCAATTTTCACTGCATAAATCATAAACAAACATGCTCACATAATATAAATGAATAGAAATTGTGTGATGCTTATATAGACTATTTTTACGAAAGATACAATGGCCATTTATGAAATTTACTGCACACAGAAAGGAGCATTTGCAAGTTTGTTTATTGGATAGCGTCACCATTTTCGTACTGTGACAAAATTTCGAGTGTGGCCGTGCAGCGTGCGGCCGATTGGATGCTCTGTGAGTCATATACCTCATCGTCAGTGTTTTTCGTTGCCATGAGCCAACAACCAGACTTTATGTGACAGTCGCTTACAGCGATTCAACAGAGATTCATGAAACAGAAAAAAATGCCAGGAGTTATGATGACATGCAGTGATGACTGCGAGTCTCCCAAAAGGCGAGTATTGTTCCATCATGGTACCTGAGTGATAGCAGATTTTGATGCATGGGCCCTATGGGAAGCTTTTCCTCTAAAGTCTGCATATTAACTCTATGGTCACAGGCAGTTTGGAGTTATCATTTGTTGTCTACAAAATGAAATGTGTATGTAATGTGGCCGTATGTAGTAGTATACTAAGCTTCATGCACAGGGAAATGTCACTTCTATGCTTTAGTAGTTGAGAAAGCCTGATGTGCACTGCAGCTGTTTTTCTTTATACAAGCTGTGATAGGACACATTAAAGCTAGAGTCTGTAAAGAGTGGAGAACATACCTCAGCTCTCCTGGATTGTGCCTGGAAAAAGACGGCTTCGCGGTGGCCGCATTTTGGGCAAGTGTGGTCCTCTGTGCGTGGCAGGGTAGGGTCATGCACCACATCCGACACTATCTGTGTCAGCTCACTGCACAAAAAGGCGCATAGTGTTAAATTGCCCAAGTTTCAAAGCTCGAGGTGTAAGCATCATGCCACAACAGAAATGACAACTGTTGAAAATCAACTGCAACAAATTCTGACTTAAGCTTGTCTGCAACCATGTGTGGATGCTACTGAGGTGATTGTGGCAAAACTGAAAGGCAAACAAGCCTGCCAATCAGTATTAAGGGGGCAGGGAAAAAAAAATTGAAAAAATCATTTTTTTTTTTCTTTTCGCATTAGTTGAAATCTGTAGTCTTTTTTGAACCAGAATCAGTCATTTGTCTCAGTACGATTATTTTTCTCCAGAAATGACATTTCAAAACTTGTGCAGTGGCCTGCCATACCACCATTCTTATGTAGCAAGAGATTCCTTGCAGTTCAAGCATCATAGCCGTATGAAAAAGTTAGTTTGCAAACAGGAGTGCATTTGGCACATTCAGGAAAGAATGGGCCCAGAACTGCGAAAACAAAAGAAAGCAGAGACATCAAGATTGCTGTTGGGAACTCCATATCTGGTCGGGGACGTCTTAGTGGTGACATCATTGACAAGCACCAAAACTATTATATTTGGACCAATAAAAGAAATAGAGCCAGCTTGGCGGACATACAAAAAGCTGCTCGATCTACATATTTTCACATGGCATCAAAGGATACCAATCAATCCCACAGCCTCTGCTCGAAGGACGCCAAAACTTCGTATAAGTTCAACAAAGCCCGCTTGAATAGTGAACCATTCGTTCATGAAGAACACCTTCTAGTATCTCTTATTAAAGGGGTCCTCTAACACTTTTAACGACTTCATAGTTTTACATGTTTTTCTAGCTGGTTGCGCACACTGACAGCTAAGAGATAAGAGCTGCAAGAACCGCAGTGATAGGGCTACGCAGTGCTAAGTTATTCAGCGTAAAGATATCAAAATACAATGAAATGAATGCTTACCCTTAACTCGATTTTCGCTGGCTCACCTTACCGTGTTTCCCTCGGCTTCTGATGTCAGAAGGCTGCCCAATGAAATGAACTGAAAGCCCCTACCATACAGGAAGCTCGCATGACATATTGCCTGTTACGTCCAGCGTATTCTACTATAATGTTTTGCAATGACTTGTATATATATCAACGCTCTCACTTTTTTTTTTAGTCCCTTCAAATAATGGCGCCCGGAGTGTTGCTGGCACAATTCCTCTAGCACATGGCGTTTGGCCCATTCTTTGACCAGCTTTGCAGTTTTCAAGCTGGAAAATAAGTCCACTAATCCCCATTTTGATGCAATGTCGCGATGTTTTCAAGCCTCAGAGGGCCCCTTTAAGGCTGTTACCCCAAATTATCTGGAAGACTAGCTCATCCATAATTACTTGCTAAATGCCTCCATGGGAAAGAAAACTCAAAACTATAATGAGTCATTGGATTGTCACGTGGAAGCGCGCTCCAGAAAAGAAAAACATTTTCTTCGGGCACCAAACACTGTAAATATGCACTCTCGATGCTGTGTTGATATTTAATGATGGCAATATAGCCTGTGTGAATGTACTGAATTATTTTGCAATTTTGCTAGGGCACAGTACAGGACCTAGGCACTTTTGAACTGGGTTGACAGTACTGCTCTGACACAGCTGCATAGCAGGTGACAAATCAGATTCGCCAGGCAAGACGTTTCTACACGAAAAGAAAAAAATGATATTAGTGATGAGTGTCTAACAGCTGCCTATTGAACGGGTCTATCAATTTGCTGTTATCTCATTGTACTTTTAAAATAATGCAGATTTTCAACTTTAAATGTGATTATTTTAAAACATGCGTTTTGTATTTATGTTCCTTTTTCTCAGCAACCACATAATCTAGAATGCTAAATCTCGGCCAGCATTTAGATAAAGTAGTAAAGAATATGCTAAAGCATATTTATTGTGTGAGAAAGCGCTCTTCTGCAACACGACATCTAGTAGCTATTATTGAGAGATAAGTAGGTACTTGAAGTAAAACATTTACAAAATCTGAGCATTATTATTTTTAGCGCTAAATCTGCTTCATTAAGAAGAGGAATGGCTCATGATCGCATTGACGGTAAAATAATTACTGCAGCTGTTATGGTTATGGAGAAAAAGGTACATAAAGTTCGCCAAAAATACATGGCGGGTATAGGGCTTACCATGTTCCCTTGACACACACGCTTTAGTTTGTTCCGTTGTGGATGAACGACAGACACCCTTATTTTTCACTGACAGCTATACAGCAAGATGACACACATACAAAATTGCTTCTAACACTCTGAAAGCAGTCCTAATATTTGCATATATTTACTGGTTGTGTTAAAGCAGTCCTAATATTTGCATATATTTACTGGTTGTGTTAAGTATTTGAAAACACCATTCTTTATCGCCACAGATATCTACGAAAGATGTTCATAAAGTTGTTATCTGGGACATGAAGAAAGACACACAAATAAAATCTGAAAGACAGTTTATTCTTCCTCTACACAGTCTCCGGTGAGTCATGCACTTCTGCCAATGATGTGCAAACTACTGCAGGCACAGGAACTTTTCAATTTGAGAGTTCAGGAACAGCCAGACATAAGCTAGGATTTCATCGTTGTCCGGACACTGTTTCCCATACCAGTGTACTCATCATGCAATGGAAGAACCCACTCTGTGCTAGGTCAGGTGAATATAGTGGAATGTGCCAAATTTTGTAGCCTAAGCATCATGGTAACCTGTGCTTAGTCAGCTGGACTTCCCTGATTGGTGTTGCCATTTTTCTTCTGGTGCCCTAGCTGTGTCGTGCGGTATTGTAAAGAACAACAGTTCCATGCTAAGATAAAACCAGATGTATGCACACTCATTTTGATGCCTACTGTGTATGCCTTTTAAAAATCTATCACACTGATAATACAAACTTTATGAATGCCCCTCGTATCAAGGCAGCTTGGCTCCAAGTGACAACCCAGAGAAGTCACTGCGGCCCTGGCAAAGAAGCTTGCAGTTGCAGAGTTGACTTTCAGGCTCACTGAACACGACAATTGATACCATACCTATGTCATGCAGGCAAGGCACTTAAATCTGGAGAAGCGTCTGCCCCAATCCAAGCGCTTGCAAAACAAGCTCAGACGCCTGAGAAGCCTGTAATGCTCTTTTTATTTTTTGATGAAAATAACCTTGACTAAAACCAGAAGGCAAACCACCAGTATGATAGCTGGCTTTGCTGCAAGCATTGATGAGGTGCCTACAATAATAAAGAACAAAATTTCCTGACTGCAATGACATTAGCTGCCAGAGGCAAAGTGGGTGTTGTCATGCCACAGCCTTATTTTTGAAGGACTCCACGTTGAAGCTGCCGCAGAGAAATGGCTGCTTGCCACCATTGTAGAGCCCTCGGTAAGAATGTTTTGAAATGACGACCTTATGTCTTCTAGCAAGACTGAGCTCTTGTCCATACCACCTGCATCACTTAGAAGTGGCTGCCTGAATACTTCTACATCCGTGTCACTTCCAACCCGTCGCTGCCTAGTTCTTCAAATTTAAATCTGAATGACTACTATGTCTAAATCATCGTTTAGAAAGAGATCAAGTAGCCACATAACAGAAACGACTTGCTAAAGGCTGTTACTACTGGCTCAATGGCCAGCATCTCTAAGGCAGTTGAGCCATTTCTGTAGCAGAATTGAATCTGTCATTGCAACTGATAATGAATTTACTAATTCTGGAAGTAAATGTTGAAAGAATTACTAATTTCTTGTGTAATGAACCCAATTTTTTTCTCGAAAAAAAAAAAAAATCAGGACGAAAGTTGGGGGTGCGTTTATTATCCAGCGAATTTTATGAAAGCTTAGTAGGTTGAATGGAAATGCCGTAATGCAAAAAAAAAAATGCCCGCTTAGCCTTCCACTGGTAATGCAAATGAGTTCTGTGGAAACCCACAAAGTGGCAGAAGGGTTATAAAAGGGAAAGAAGACGACCACCCGTTCGTAGCACAAAGCCACAAAGAAATCCACACGAATTTCTCAGAAAGAAAAGATTTCTCAGAAGAAAAGGTGCCGAAAAATTCGTCCTCTTTTGGGGTTCGAACCTGCGACCAAGGCCTATCTGTGGAGGTCACTCTGCCAAATGAGCTAATCAGAAAGCTTGCAATTGACATCGTGAGAGTGAATTCATCGAGAACTCGAAACACATGGACACAAGTAATGCAAATGAGTTCTGTGGAAATCCGCAAGGTGGCGGAAAGGTTATGAGAGGGAAAGAAGACAACCACCCTTTCTTAGCACGAAGCTAGAAGGAAATCCGTATGAAATTTCTCAGAAAAACAAAAGCCTTTTAGTTGCCAAAAAATTCGACCTGGTCAGGGGTTTGAACACATGCCTGCGCCACAGAATATTCAGTTCATCCATTGAACTTCGCTTGTATACGAGAGTACAATATATTGATACATATTTTTACTATGCCCTAACTGTCAAAGGCACTCTGAAGTGTTGTCTAGTGAGAAGGTGCAACACAGGCAAACGTGCAGGCCAATCACAACCTTAGAAAGGCCTACTAAAATACCTGTCATGTAACTTAAACTAATAAATAAAATGATGATGGTCATAAACCTAAAGCAGCACAGTGAGATATGTAGTGTGGGCACTTGTAATGATCACGAGCTTTATTGTTCAGCAGCATGGCAAACGGCACAGAAATAAAGCTGAACATAGAGCTGAAAAAGTATGCGACAAATTAAAAATATTTATATTGATTCACTTCATCTGTTCGTCCCTTTATAGTGACATGACTGGAAGGGTACACCAAGTGATTTTTGCAACTAGCGTCACAACGCACAACCAAAAATGCACAGAATGAAGAAACATGGTTGGACATGGACATATTATCATGCAAGATTAATATTCATAGTAACCATAATTTTTCAGAAGAAATAAAATAAACTCTGTGCAAGCGACTGTTTCATGCAGAAAACAGATACATGACATAGCAAACTATTGTTGCCTATCTTTTTCAATTGACG